TTGGTTTCAGTAAAAGTAGAAAGTTGTGATGAAACTGTTGTATGTTATTTGGATTAAGTAAAGTAAATGTAAAAAGTTGTGGTAAAACTGTGTTGTTTGTTTGTATGTTGGTTTCAGACGACAAGACAGCAGCCAATCGAACGCCTCATCCGTGTCCATCCCGCCCATGCCAGAGTCTCTGCCCAACCTGATGGGCGGCTCCAACTCCTCTCTCCTGCACATCGAGAACTTGTCGGACCAGCGGCCCTCCACGGTGCCGGCCATCGACGCCTACCTCAGCCACCACCAAGGGCCGGGGCTCGGGGGGAAGATGACCGTCACCGCCGGACACCTGTACCGGCCCGACCTACCGCAGCAGCGACAGCCGCAGCTACAACAGCAGCAGCAGCAGCAGAGCTTGACCCCACAAGGCAGCGGGAAGACGGTGCTGAGATCTCTGCGGTCCTCTCTGAGCTCCAGCATGAGAGCAAAGGTCAAGGCCTCTGTGGTGGGTGTTAGTGGCATGAGGCCAAGGTCAAGGCCTCTGTTGTGGGTGCTAGTGGCATGAGGGCAAAGGTCAAGGGTTTGGTCGCATGAGACCATGGGTTTAAACCATGCTATTAGAATCTAAGTCTAATTATAATTTTAGACCGCTCAGTAAAGATGGATAAGGATAATTCTGAAAATAAGAAAGAGAACTAGATGTTTATAGTTCAAAAGACTATAAATATCTTTCATTTCCGTGTTTTAGTTTTTTTTTCTTTTCCCCCTAACCATTCATTTCTCGATTGTGTTTTTTACTCCACAGCTCCATCAAGGCGGCATTGACCTCAAACGTATCCGAGAAGCAGCACCGGGCGAGCGCCGCATGTCCACAAGCTCTGACGTCTCTATGGCGGACCACGTGTAAGTGAAACAAACAGTGTCTTACTGTACCAGGCTGCCTTGTGTCTTCTTTGGAGAAGGGGGGGGGCTAAAGAATGTAAGCAAAACGCACCCCTGCAAGTGCCACAAAACTCTTACTAAAACTAAACCGCTCTTGTTGTCCAGCTTCAAGAGCACTCCTCTGATCGTGACGACGGAGGCAAGCCGCAGCCACGTGGTGGACACGCAGACCGTCGTTTCAGCACTCAGGGAGAAACGGTCAGTGATTGTGGAGTCGATCGAGTAAAATACACAGCGATGAACCTTTTCACTGATTGTTGGCTTGTTAGACCACGTGACCTGATTATTTACAAAAAAAGGACATATTTATTAGTGTATCATCTATCAAGTTTTTAATGATGCACAATATATTTCTAAAATATCTTGATAAGACAGTATGCTGTCATCTGTATGCTTGATGATGACTTAATTACTATATAGCAAATCAATTCCTTCTATTTGTATTTTGCTCAGGAAGAGGTATGGAGGGAGCCAGGTGGATGATTCTGTCAGTGAGGATTCGTGGCAAAGTGTTGCCAAGAGAAGGTTTGTAATGCTGTGGGACTGTGTATGTGTTTGCGTAGAAAACATAGAAAATTGTGATAAAACTGTGTTGAATGTATTTTGGTTTCAGTGAAGGAGAAAGTTATAATGATAAAATTGTGTTGTTGTTACATGTTCGTATTTTGATTGGATTGAAAAAGAAAATTGTCATAACACTTTAAAAAAAATTTTGATTTGAGTAAAGTAGAAGGTTGTCGTAAATTTGTGCTGTTTGTATTATGGTTTGAGTAAAGTACAAATTTGTGATAAAGCTGTGTTTTATGTATTTTGGTTTAAGTAAAGTAGAAAGTTGTCGTAAAACTGTGCTGTTTGTATTTTGGTTTCAGTAAAAGTAGAAATTTGTGATGAAACTGTTGTATGTTATTTGGATTAAGTAAAGTAGAAAGTTGTCGTAAAACTGTGCTGTTTGTATTTTGGTTTCAGTAAAAGTAGAAAGTTGTGATAAAACTGTTGTATGTTATTTGGATTAAGTAAAGTAGAAAGTTGTGATAAAACTGTTGTATGTTATTTGGATTAAGTAAAGTAGAAAGTTGTGATAAAACTGTTGTATGTTATTTGGATTAAGTAAAGTAGAAAGTTGTGATAAAACTGTTGTATGTTATTTGGATTAAGTAAAGTAAATGTAAAAAGTTGTGGTAAAACTGTGTTGTTTGTTTGTATGTTGGTTTCAGACGACAAGACAGCAGCCAATCGAACGCCTCATCCGTGTCCATCCCGCCCATGCCAGAGTCTCTGCCCAACCTGATGGGCGGCTCCAACTCCTCTCTCCTGCACATCGAGAACTTGTCGGACCAGCGGCCCTCCACGGTGCCGGCCATCGACGCCTACCTCAGCCACCACCAAGGGCCGGGGCTCGGGGGGAAGATGACCGTCACCGCCGGACACCTGTACCGGCCCGACCTACCGCAGCAGCGACAGCCGCAGCTACAACAGCAGCAGCAGCAGCAGAGCTTGACCCCACAAGGCAGCGGGAAGACGGTGCTGAGATCTCTGCGGTCCTCTCTGAGCTCCAGCATGAGAGCAAAGGTCAAGGCCTCTGTGGTGGGTGTTAGTGGCATGAGGCCAAGGTCAAGGCCTCTGTTGTGGGTGCTAGTGGCATGAGGGCAAAGGTCAAGGGTTTGGTCGCATGAGACCATGGGTTTAAACCATGCTATTAGAATCTAAGTCTAATTATAATTTTAGACCGCTCAGTAAAGATGGATAAGGATAATTCTGAAAATAAGAAAGAGAACTAGATGTTTATAGTTCAAAAGACTATAAATATCTTTCATTTCCGTGTTTTAGTTTTTTTTTCTTTTCCCCCTAACCATTCATTTCTCGATTGTGTTTTTTACTCCACAGCTCCATCAAGGCGGCATTGACCTCAAACGTATCCGAGAAGCAGCACCGGGCGAGCGCCGCATGTCCACAAGCTCTGACGTCTCTATGGCGGACCACGTGTAAGTTAAACAAACAGTGTCTTACTGTACCAGGCCGCCTTGTGTCTTCTTTGGAGAAGGGGGGGGGCTAAAGAATGTAAGCAAAACGCACCCCCCCCCCCCCCCCCCAGTCTTTGTTTATATGGAAAATGCAAGTGAAACATTCATTTTCTGTCTTTGTATACAGTGCAGCCTCTTTACAACAGCCTTCGATGTAACGACATCCTCTGTATAGGCACATGGTGCCACGGGTCCTGATTTTTTCCTTATATATCATTAGTAATTGCCATTTTTGGTTGCCTCTCTATAACAACAACTCTCTATTGCGAATTTTTTTTCTGGTCCCGACGATGTCGTTATGGAGAGGCTTCACTGTATATAAAAAATGTATGCGAAACATTCCTTCACTGTTTTTTTGTTTACATATAAAAAATGTATAAATGAAACATTCTCATACTGTCTTTGTAGAAATCGAAGACGTGAGATAAAACCCACGGACTTGCTACTTTTTTCTTCGGAAACCTCCAATATACTTGCCATCAAAAGAAAACCCACGGACTTGCTACTTTTTTCTTCGGAAAACTCCAATATACTTGCCATCAAAAGAAAAAATTTGTTTGAAAACAGTCCATGGAAAAGTGGGTGAGATGTACAGAGCTGTGATATCTCCTCCCCGTCTCCCTCCTCCCGATGAAGTAAAGTAAGTGTATGGGGTATCAATACTTTTCGGTTCTTTAAGAGGTGGGACCCCAGAATTTAATATCTCTCTCTGACAGAACTGAGCCAAATGGGTTGGGAGCCTTGAAAACTCCCATAAAAGGACCCGTGTTAAAAGACACCCAGTTTGGGACTCGAACCAGGGTCATCCGTTCTGTGGTCCCAACATGATGCCACCTGATGCTACTTGACTCCCTCCTGACCTAGGTTTTGTTTTGTTCCCCCAGTTCCGAGTTTGACGAGCCCCAGACAAAGGTATCTCGCCAGGTATCTACGCCAAGGTCGTTCCCCGCGCACGTCGGCGACGGTGACGCTGTGTCTGCTGGGGGGTCAGAGGAAGCTCCTTCCTCGGCCTCATCCTCCGACCGGAACACACAGGTACTTTCAGCCTTTGACTCAAAAATACACTGGTACATTGAGGATTTGACTAAAAAATACACAGGTAGATTCAGCCTTTGACTCAAAAATGCACAGGCAGATTCAGCCTTTGACTCAAAAATACACAGGTAGATTCAGCCTTTGACTCAAAAATACACAGGTACATTCAGGATTTGACTCAAAATACACAGGTAGGTTCAGCCTTTAACTCAAAATACAATGGTAGATTCAACCTTTGACTGAAAAATACACAGGCAACTTTTAACTCTGAATGTACAGGGAAATTCAGCATTTTACTCAAAACCACAAGTTATTTCAGCCTTTTGCTCGAATTACACGGGTAGAGTCAGCCTTACACTCTGTACCTGGATACCTGGAGGTGTCATCTCCGACTCAGAGGTTGACATGTAATGACTTTCCATCTTTCACGGTCGCGAGCTGCCGTTGCACATTCCGCCATATCCAGGCCTGTCAGTGTTCTTATGTTGTCCATCCATGTTCCTCTTTGCCTTCCTCTGGCTCCACTGCCCTTCATCTCTCCATCAAGTGCCTCTTTCACAACGGTCTTGTGACATTTTAAGTGGCCATAGTGTTGTATTTTTCTACATTTTATTTTATTCAGCAGAGTTTGTCTTGTGTGTAGAATCTGACACACCTCGGGTTTTTTTTGGTCTTTTTTTTTTTTTTCTTTCTTATTCTGGCCATTCTACAGTAGCAGAATACACTCTGTATGTGCAGGTAAATCTCTGCGTGGGTGGTTGGCGGGTGCCCTAGTGTGCTCTTTCCTATCTATCGTCCTTATCTCCCCTTCTTTTTTTATGTTTGTTACTCTCTTGTAACACCTCTAATCTTCTGTCGCTCATATGACCTTATGCAGTTGCGAGTGCCGTAAAACCTCTACTAAAACTGAACTAAAACAACATCTCTGCGTGGAAGCTGTGGGAGGAGGGAGAAATGGGTGTACAACTTGTAAATAACACTTCTTCTGCGAGTTTACTTCATGTTGACGTTTATTCACAATTTCACGTCTTTGTTTGCAGTGAATTTTCTCTGACAGTTATTCACAATCACACCATTTTGTCTGTTGATTACTTACAGTAAATTTCTGAGTCAGTTATTCACAATCATACATTTGTGGATGGCTGGTTGGCGGGTGCTGTGGTGTGGTTTGCTCTTTCGTTCTTATCAAACATATATCATCCTGATCTCTCCTTCTTCTCTTTTGTGTCTGTTACTCGCTTGTAACACCTCTAATCTTCGGCACTAATATGACCTTTTTGTGTTGCAAGTGCTGTAAAACTCATACGAAAACTAAGAATCACGGTCACGCGTCTTTGTTTGCTTATTACTAAGAGTGAATTTTCTCTGACAGTTATTCACATTCACACCATTTTGTCTGTTGGTTATTTACAGGGAACTTTCTGGGACAGTTTTTCACAGTCATACATTTTACTTGTATTACCTGTCCTGGGCAACAACGTCATTGCACACCGGACAGCTCCATAAGAGTCATACATTTGTGGTAATTGACTACCGGTAATGTTTTTTATTTCTAAAGCTTTGTTGTTATTCCCCCCATTCCCACCCCACCCCACCCACCCAGACAACAAAGGCTGTCACTGTGTCCACCCCGACCAGGAGGAAGATTGCCGAGGGCGTGGTGCTGAGGAAACATATGTCTGTGGCCTCAGCCAGCAGTCCCGGCACTCCCAGCAAGGTGGGTCCACCAATATTATGTGCTTGTTTTCTCCACACACACGCTTTGGGGGGGGGGGGGGGGGGGCGGTCCTGTCGGAGACAGGCGTTGAACTGACTAGGAGGTCCCGCCCGTTAAATAACCTAATAGTGTTGATACGGGCGTTAAACCCATACCATTCACCGTTTCACGCTTGGGGGGCTCTCGTGGCCTAGAGGTTAAGGTGTTCACCTCTCATTCAATAGGTCCTGTGTTCGAATCCAGGTAGCGATGAAAAAATTTTCTTCTCGAAAATTGTCTTCTTTCACCTCCTTTCCTGCTCTCTAGCTATGTTCTGTCGTTTGCTTTGGCCATCGCTTTCTGCCCCCACCCACTCACCTCCTTTGCCCCCTCCTCTGGGCTCCTGACTCTTTCTGCAGCTTTTCTACTGCTATTCCTTGGCTCTTTCTTACTGCTGTCTTTCTGCCACACCCCTGATCTTATGGTAGGAAAAATCTGCACCTAGCCTTCTCGGACAAGGGCGAAAAATCTCGGAAGTCCCGTGTGCAAGTTGCGCACGTTTAAGATCCCTTGGTGGTCCAAAAACCGATAAGCAAAATTCGAAATTTCCAACCAACAGAAAATGTTTATTGTGTTCCATGCGCTCATATGACCTCATGCAGTTGCGAGCGCTGTAAAACTCTTACCAAACAAAAACAACAAGCAACAAGCAAACAAACACACGCTTGTGTTCTCCAGTAATAAATTGCACTAGGCAGGGGAATGTTTTCCCCGCTATGTTCTCTTCTCTCTCTCTCTCTCTCTTTCCCTGATAGCTCCCCCAGGCTTGCCAACCTTCCCGAATTTTTCGGGAAATTCCTGAATTGCCATTGTCGTTCCCGAACCTTTCCCGAAATGGTGTGGGTGGTTGTTTTTTTTAGTAACTTTAGTAGCCTATCACAGAAGTGTGTGTCTGTGGCGCAATCAACATTCGAGAATTCAGTATCTCAAAAGTTGGCAAGCCTGCTCCCCCTTCCCATACTTTCCATTTATCTGACTGGCTGATATCCGTCCATTTGTCTGTTTATCTTTCTGTCTGTTTGTCTGGTGTGATCCAAGAATTACCCCGCAGGGCAGTGCCACTGACTGAAGTGTCTTTAGGCCATTCCTAAAGGGGGGACAGTTCTCGTTCAAGCACAGTAGAATTGTAAATGGGCTGATTCATCATGTCACGCTCATAGCTGTGCCTGATCTACAACAGGGAACTGCTGCTTTTTCTTTCCAAATCCTTTCTATCGTCGTTTTACCTCTACTTCTTTTGTATGTTTGTCACTCTCTTGTGAACTGCTATTTCCGGGGTGCCTTGATGGTCGAAGCAGACCTTGTGCTGTTGAGACTAGAGAGGTGAGCAGAGTAAGTCTGATTCCTTGTGAAGACTTCTCTGTTGACACCCACCCCTTGGCGCTCATATGACCTTATGCAGTTGCGAGCGCCGTAAAATCCTCTACAAAAACAAAAAAAATAAATCCAAGAATTGAAGTTGTGGGAAGTGCATCGGATGTGGTATTGTTCAGTGTTTCCTTGTTTTTTCTCTCAATTTATATTTTGTTGAATGGGCGATGATGTCTTTTGCTTACTCAGCCACAGGCCAAGAATTCCCTGGTCAGCGCTACGGACTATGAGAAGGACAAACAGGCAGAGTTTCAGCGCCGTGTCCTTGACCTGCTAGGAGACGAGCAAGCTGCCAACGCTGGCAAAGGTAAAACCTAACTCAAAAGTGCATTGCTGTCAACCAGTACGTTTAAAAAACTTATTTAACCCTATCTGTGTGCTATGGGGTCATTTTATACCCCTAGGGTTGTATTCTTCACATTTTAGAATGCTTCTGGTAAGAAGATCTCTTCGAAACTTTTAGTATTTCTTCAAAAATCATTTTGACAGACTACTATGCAAAGCATACGGATTGGATTAACGAGTAAATTTCCTCTTTGGAAAGTGGTGGCACTGAGTTCCCCACGCCATATGGATACGATAGTAAAACACAACGTACAGATAGGGTTAATAGTTTTTGGAAATCTGAGCATGAAAGTTTATTTTAGTGTTGGTTTCTGTCCCTGTTTCTCTGTTTTCTAGTGTTACTCCTCACGTACTTACTTATACTGAAGGAAAAATTATGGACACTGGAGAATGGATGTGCGAAGGATAATGAAAATGAAGCACATAAGTTTATTGTAGTTGTGTTTCTTACCATAGTTAGCTGTTGGGCATGAATTTGTAGAATACAAAAAATGTGTGTGAAGAGTTTGATGGGCAGTTACTTGGCCAATGCCCACCATCCTGACCCGCCCTGAGGGTAGAGTGTGTTTGGTTGTTTGTTGTTTGTTTTTTTTTGGGGGGGGGGGGTGAAAAGTTGGCAGCTGTAAGAATGGACATCAAACATGTAAGGCAAAACTGCTCAGGGTTCAGACTTTGTTCTGCTAGAGCTAATGTAGGATATGTAATGTTGAATTTATGAGTTGTTTTTTTTTTTTCCCCTGTACAGGATCCGAGACTGTCTCTGTGAGTAGTGTACTACCGGGGCTTACCTCCACCTCCCTATCCTCCTCCTCCTCGACCCCAGCGAGCTCAACAGCGACCTTCACCTTGTCTACATCATCAGTGTCGTCAGGGTCGGGCCAGGCGGCCACGTCTGCGGCCATCAGCACCAGCCTGGACTGTCTGAACAAACTGGTGCAGTCGGCCAGCTCGTCGTCGCCTCCCACCACCGCGGCACCGCAGGGCCAGTCTGTCGCGGCACCCGTGTCGGCCACTTCCCCCTCCTCGGCCCTCACGTCGCCCACCATCACGGTCGGCGGGCCGGTCACACTCACGCAGCTCCTGGCCTCGGATGATGGTGAGTTCACTCGCACACACTCGTGGCGCACAGGGGGGTGGGAAGGTGTCTGCAGCAGTTCACGACCTCGCTGCTTTCTTGTCCCATCTCTATTTTTTAAAACAGTGAAAATGTGACTTCATCTTAAGCTCACTCATTGTTATGAACTGTTTTCACTGTTATTAAAAATGGAGATAGGACAAGAAAGCACTGAGGTCATGTGGAGATAAGACAAGAAAGCACTGGGGTCATGAGTTTGTGTAAGTTAACAAGGGTTATGCGGAAGTTTTTTTCCTCCATTTTCTTTCTTCTTTCATTCCTTTTAATTTTGGCTATCATTTCTCTTTGTGACCAGCGCCTGTGCTGCAGTGGTTAGACACTTTGCTGCTGCACGTAAGTGGGCCCGGGTTCGACGTCCGCATGGGGGAGAATTTACATCGAGTATCTAGGTTTTTCTGTTGAAATGTTTGTATCCCTCTCAGCCTGGCTTGGCACTGTGTGACATGACCTTATGCTCTACTCAAACAAACTGAAGATGTGACATGAATTGTGTTCTTCACAAACAAACAAACAGACAATGTGACATGAATTGTGTTCCTCACAAACAGACAAACAAACAAAGTGACATGAATTGTGTTCCTCACAAACAGACAAACAAACAAACAGACAATGTGACATGAATTGTGTTCCTCACAAACAGACAAACAAACAAACAAACCAACAAAGTGATATGAATTGTGTTCCTCACAAACAGACAAACAAACAAACAGACAATGTGACATGAATTGTGTGCCTCACAAACAGACAAACAAACAAACAAACAAACAAACCAACAAAGTGACATGAATTGTGTTCCTCACAAACAGACAAACAAACAAACAAACAAACAAACTGTGTGACATGTCCTTTTGTCATTCCAGCCTCCAAGACGTCCACTGTGAGCTCTCTGGCCGCTCAGACGACCTTGGCCTCTGGACTCACCTTCTCAGGTAACTGTCCTCCACTGATGTCCCTCCTTGTCCTACATATGTTTTTGTGTTTGTCCTACATAGTTGGACATGAAGGTTTTGCTCTACAGAGGTTTGCAAGCTTGTCGTGCTTCAGTGCTTTTGACAACAATGTATAAAAAGTGACGTCACTGTCTTGAGAAGTAACGACAATGTGCGAGATGTAACACTGGTGTGTGAGAAGTAACGTCATTGTGTAAGAAGTAACAACCAAGTGTAAGAAGTAACAACAATGTGTGAGAAGTAACAACAACAATGTGTGAGAAGTAACAACAACAATGTGTGAGAAGTAACAACAACAATGTGTGAGAAGTAACAACAACAATGTGTGAGAAGTAGCACCAATCTGTGAAAAGTAACAACGGTGTTTTAGAAGTAACATTAGTGTGTGAGAAGTTCCAATGTTATTAATAGATGAGAAGTAACAGCAATGTGTAATATCGGTGTTTCAGAAGTATCAACAATGTGTGAGAAGTAACATCAGTGTGTGAGAAATGAATCAACGTATAGATAGTAACGATATGTGAGAAGTAACAACATTGTGTGTGAGAAGTATCATCAATGTGTGAGATGTAACGTCTATGTGTGAGAAATGAATCAATGTATAAGAAGTAACAACAATATGTGAGAAGTAACAACATTGTGTGTGAGAAGTATCATCAATGTGTGAGATGTAACATCTATGTGTGAGAAATGAATCAATGTATAAGAAGTAACAACAATATATGAGAAGTAACAACATTGTGTGTGAGAAGTATCATCAATGTGTGAGATGTAACAAAATGAATCAACGTATAAGAAGTAACAACAATATGTGAGAAGTAACACCATTGTGTGTGAGAAGTATCATCAATGTGTGAGATGTAACAAAATGAATCAATGTATAAGAAGTAACAACAATATATGTGAGAAGTAAAATCAGTATGTGAGATGTAATGCTGCTGTTTGTGTTTCAGGAAAGCCGTTGAGCAGTCCGTCGTCAGCAGGGGTGGGTGTTGCAACGTCCAACAACGTGGCGACGACATCAACAATTCCCCCGGCTCAGAGCGTCGCCAGTGCTCTGGCGTCTTCCGCTGCTCCTCTGGCTGGGGGGTTCATCTTCGGATCACTGACCTCTGCACCTACAGCGTCTGGCAACAGCGGTCCACCCACCCTAGCCAGTGCTGCCAGTTCTACTACAGCGCAGAGTGACCCTGTGGGCGGTCGGGCGGGTGTCTCTCTTACGGCCGGCGGCTCTAACACAGGTATGGCTGGGCAGGTCCCCCCGGCTGTGGTCAGCTTTGGTGCGGCCACTTCGCTCGGTGCTGCTTCTTCAACCCTGGCCAGCCCGGGGACGTTTTCCTTTGGTTCCACGACTCCTTCGTCAACATTATCATCGTCTCAATCCCAGCCTGTTGTCGGTGGCTTCAACTTCTCGGTGGGAGCTCCCGCGACTCTTTCCGCGGGCTCATCAAGTACATCGGCCGCGCAGCCGCCCGCTTACAACTTTGGGAACTCTGTCAGTTCGAGTTTGAGTTCTGCCGGTCAAGTCCTGGGTTCCCTCACGCAGCCAGCCTCCGCACTTTCAGGTCCGTCTGCGAGTAGAATGCTGCAAAGCCCGCAGAACTTCTCTTTGGGCTCGACCGTCTCGACCGCTCTGTCTTCGGCCGCGCCATCGCTGTCTTTTCCCGCTCCTCAAACAGTCTTGGCTACAACAAGTACCGCTCCGACTGGGCTGTCCGTGTTTGGGTCAGCCGGCAACACCACCGGCCTGGCATCTGCTTTATCAGCGACCGCCTCAAGTGTGGCGGGATTTACTGGTTTTGGTGGGACACCCGTTTCCACGGCGATGACACAGCCTCCAAGTTTTGCTGCCGTCTCGTCGACCGGGCCTGCCTCTGGCTTTTCCTTTACTTCAGGTAAATCCATCAGAGTGTCTGTGTCTTTGTACAGGTAAATCTGTCAGTGTCTTTGTGTCTTTGTACAGGTAAATCTTTCAGTGTTTCTGTATCTTTTTACAGGTAAATCTATCAGTGTCTCTGTGTCTTTGTACAGGTAAATCTATCAGTGTCTCTGTGTCTTTGTACAGGTAAATCTGTCGGTGCCTCTGTGTCTCTACAGAGGTAAATCCATCAGTGTGTCTGTGTCTTTGCACTGCTAATTCCTTCAGTGTGTCTGTGTCTTTGTACTGGTAAATCCTTCAGTGTCTCTGTACTGGTAAATCTGTCGGTGCCTCTGTATTCCTCGCAGTATTCCACACTAACTCTCCTTGCATCCGTCACACAAACTCTCCCTGTATCCCTTAACTCTTCATATCCGGTGAGCTGGTGGGAGCGGCTCGGCGTGAAGTGGGTTTGGCCGGCGAGCCACTTACAACGGCTCGCTACACTAGCCTTCATTAAATACACGCGAAAGTTACACTTCACGACATCAACCGAAATTATGGTCTCAAATGCCGAAATAGGTCTTTTTCTGTTTGTAGTTTCATTTTGTGGCGTTTGCGCGGGCGCTTTTAATGCTAGATTTGATGGCTTGTTTCCAAACAGCTGATTTTCTGTGTCTAATTTGTTTGTATTGGTTAGGGAGATTATCGTGGCAGGAGATTGCTCCTGAAATAATTATAGTGACAGTTTTCTTGTTTGGATTATACTGAGACAAATTTTCATTCCATTTGGATATTATAAATCTAGATCTAGATGTTGGATCTTGTTGAGGCTCTATCTATTCTGGTTAGTTCATCGTAATATGTAGGCCTCTTCTATGTGAATGTGACTTTTTTATATATGTAGTTATTGCACACTTCATTTTACACCTGGAAACTTCAAAGAATTACTCAAAATTACTTTGAAAATGTGCATAAAGACACTGTTTTCATATATAGGTATATTTATTCAAACAAAACTATGAATGTAAGCCTTTGATTTATTGTATAACAAAGTGTGTATATATATAGAAATCTAGATCTAGATCTAGCTGTGTTTACACTTTTCATGCTGAATGTAGGTTCTGATCTGATACAACATTTTTTATTTGGGTGTATTTCAAAAGGATGAGCTTCAAAGTAGCTACTACAGCCACCATAGATGTAATCCTAGAATGTTTATCAACATTTTTGCTTCTCTTACTTTGGCTCTGTGTTCAAGTTTTATAAAGTTACACCCATATTTGGGTGAACGGTGTTATGTAATATTGCAACTTTTTTTGGTGCTAATGGCCATTTGCTTCAATAGTCTAGTTTTATTCTTCAGTAAAGGCATCTAAAATGAACACCAATAAATGCATCTTTCATTACTGAACACAAACATACCGAAAGTTTTGATGTGGGCCTAGTAGATTGAAAGTTGTATATATAGACTTTTGTAACCCACCCTACTGCTGTAGGATCAGTCCCTGGGAGGCTTCGGTCAGAACGAAAATCCTCTATCGAAATGAAGAGTCAAACTCTCCCTGTATCCCTCACACAAACTCTCCCTGTATCCCTGTATCCCTCACACAAACTCTCCCTGTATCCCTCACACAAACTCTCCCCGTATCCCTGTATCCCTCACACAAACTCTCCCTGTATCCCTCACACAAACTCTCCCTGTATCCCTCACACAAACTCTCCCTGTATTCCTCAGCAGGTCCCACCACCAGTCCAGCCCCCACCGCCCCCACCAACACTTTGACCGGGTCCGGGGGTTTCAATTTTGCCGCCATGACCTCCAGCAGCCAATCACAGCAGAGCCAGAGCTCGGCCGGCGCTGGCGCGGGAACGTTTGTGTTTGGCTCGCCCGCCGCGACGGGAGCAGGGGCTGGTAACTCTGTATTTGGAGCCGGGGGAGCCAGGCCAGCAAGTACCACCAGCGGCCAGTCGCAAGCTTCCGTGTTTGGTGGCGTAGCCACCGTGGTGTCTAGTAGCAGCCAGCCTGCGGGGGTGAGTGGCGGAGCGTTTGTGTTCAGTCCTTCAACAGGGGCAGCGGCCAACAGTCGTCCAACCACGCAGTCTGGCTCTGGGGGCTTCGGCACTGCTTCAACCACGTCAGCGTCCGCCTCTTTTGCCTCTCCGGGCTCTCAGCAGCAGCAGCAGCCGCCGCCTAATCCGTTTGGTGCCAGTAACGTGGCCGCAGCGTCATCTGTTCCTGGTTCTTCTGTGTTTGGCGGACCGGCCCCAGGCTTCGGCGCGGCACCTCAAAGTTCACAACAACAGCAACAACAACAACTAGGTCAGACAAACCCAGCCCAGCCCGCCGTGTTTGCTTCGAACACATCGGCCAACAACACGGCAGGGGGCTTTGCCTTTGGCCAGATGGCCGCAGCCCCCGTAGCCCCACCCTCCACCTCCAATACCCCCTTCGCCTTTGGTTCTACAGCCCCCACAGCCCCGCCCACCACCTCTAGTACCCCTTTCGCTTTTGGTTCCACAGCCCCTGCCTCCACCTCCAGTAGCCCCTTCGCCTTCGGTTCTGCTGCCCCTGCAGCCCCATCCACCACCTCCAGTAGCCCCTTCACCTTCGGATCTACAGCCCCCGCGGCCCCTTCTTCCACCTCTGGGAGCCCCTTTGCCTTCGGTTCTACAGCCCCCGCAGCTCCTACCTCCACCTCTAGCAGCCCCTTCGCCTTCGGCTCGACAGCCCCTGCAGCCAGTGGTACAAGTCTGTTTGGAGCGCCGGCCCCACAAGGGGCCAACAACCTGTTTGCCCCCGCGCCCGCTGCCACATCGGCGCAGACAGCAGCCCTCGGTGGCTCAGCCGGTTCGGTGTTTGGCGGAGGGAGCGCCACGGCATTTGGAGGGGCGACGTTGACCACGACTGCATCTGTGTTTGGGGGAAGCGCTTCAGCCGCACCACCGGCCTTTGGGACCACCCAGAACAACCCGGCCGCTGCTGGGTTTGGAACCGTCGCGGCCAACCCAAACCAGAGCCAGCCCTTCTCCTTTGGCACGTCTGCCACGGCTACGGGCAAACCGGGGCCAGCAGGGTTCGGGGCCAGCCCGGCGGGCACATTTGCCACGTCTTCTGCCTTCGGGGCTAAACCCACGGCGTCTGTGTTCGGATCCAGCACCTCCAACCCGTCAGGCCCAGGGTTCGGTGCGACGAGCGCCAGCGCGAACGCCGGCTCAGCGTTTGGTGGCTTCTCTTCCAGCCCGGCATTCGCGGCCAGTCCGCAGAAACCATCGACGTTTGGCACCGCGGGTTTCGGTACCTCTCCCAGCCCGGCATTTGGCGGCGCTCACAACAACAACGCCGCCGCCCCGTTTGGTGGTCCCACCTCCCCGAATCAGCCCCCAGCCTTTGGCTCGCCGACGGTTACCGCGAATCAAGGTATGAATCCATCAGCTTTTGGGGGGAGCAGTGTGGCAGGTGCGTCGTTGTTCGGTGCTGCGAAACCTGGCGGGTTCGGTAGCCCGGCAAGCACCCAAGCCGCGCCATTTAGCTTCTCTGGCAACTCTGCCGGCAGTGTTGGCCAGCCCCCACAGAACAACGCTTTTGGAGCTCAGCCTAATAATGCCGGTGAGTCAATCTGGGATAATTACAAGAATGATGATTGTTTCTTGTGTCCGGGTTAAGTTTAGTTTAGTTTTAGTAAGTGTTTTACGGCACTTGCAACACAATAAGGTTGTATAAGTGCCGAAGATTAGAGGTGTTACAAGGGAGCAACAAACACACAAAAAAAGGAAGGGAGATAAGGACGATAGGTGTCTGATAGGAAAGAAGAAGCAAAACCACACCAGAGCACCCGCCAACCACCCACCCGAGTTAGGTGTGCCTGAAAGCTTTTTACAATTGGAATACTATAGATCTTATGCAGTTGCAAGCACCGTAAAGCACTTTCCAAAAGAAAAGGAAAAAAAAGAATACTATAGATTTCTTTTTTTTTTTCAATATGCAAGAGCTGTTTACAAATGATATTCTATACAGTTGAAAAACGTTGTAAATTGTAGATGCCATCTGATTATTTAATGACAATCACCTATACAAAGTGCCACTTCACATTTCCCTCATTGCAGTTTTTTTACCATGTGTATTATAATTATAATGAATAATGACCCTGTCTAAAACATCCACCTGTCTAAGCCGGCCACTTTTCTTCTCAACAACAGGTGACCACCCTAGACAATTTTGACCCTTGTAATTTTTTTGTAAGTATGCTCTAAAGACAATCTGTTTATAACAATCACCTGTGCAAACAGACACTTCCCATCCCCCTCACCCATTACGTTAAAAAAATTATTATAATAATAATAACACTGAGGAAGACGTACACCTGTCTAGGGCGGCCACTTTACTCCGCGGCAATGGATGGTCATCTTGGAAAATTTTGACTTTTTAATTTTTTTCAAATGTGCAAGATGTCTTTAGGTCATTCCCAAAGGAGGGATATTAACATGTTCTTATGCAGAGTAGAATTGTAAACGGCCTGATTTATCAATGTCATGCTCACATACTGTGCCGGAACAGCATAGGGGGAACTGCTGCTTTTTATTTCCTAATTCTTACTATCGTCATTGTCCTCTACTTCTTTTGTATGTTTGTCACTCTCTTGTGAACTGCTATTTCCGGAGTGCCTTGATAGACGAAGCAGACTTTGTGTTGTTGAGACTAGAGAGGTAAGCAGAATAAGCCTTAGTCCCAGTTTGGACTTCTCTGTTGACACCCACCCCTTGGTGCTCATATGACCGTATGCAGTTGCGAGGGCCGTAAAACCTTACTTAAATTAAAACAAATGTGCAAGAGCTGTTGGGCGTTGTCAAAGATTTGTGGCCGTGATGATGTTCTATATCTGTGTGACGTACGTGTGAGACAGAATACAGTTTCCGTGGAGGAAGTCACCGAGATCTGTTTGTGTTTCAGCCTCGTCTGGCTTCAACTTTGGCCAGGCGGCTGCCAGTCCTGGTGGTGGCGGAGGTGGTGGCTTCAACTTTGGCGCTGCGACCCAGCCGTCGGCCGGCCTTGGAGGATTCAACTTCGCTGCCGCTGCGGGCTCAGGGGGGCCCAACTTTAACTTCAGTAAGTTCAGATAAGTTTTTAACACTTGGCAGTCACTTGGCGCCATACAGGGATGCCAAATGTCAGGTTTTTCCGGGGTTTTTTCATCCGTTGGAATTACAAAGGAAAGGGGAGAGGTAAGAGAGAATTTGTTTTTGTTTGCTCATTTAAAAGCTTTACAAGGTTCGGTTTAGGTGAGATGTGATGCTCCGCTCATTTTCAGGGGGGGGAGGGGGGTTTCAAATATCATTTGGCATCCCTGGCAATAATGCAGCGGTGAAAGTTATGCGTTCTGGTCACCTGGCGCAGTTCTGCGCCTGGCCCGAGAAGTTCGTTGCAGTCACCCTCTTAGCTGGGTGACCAGATGGGGTATTTTGTACAGCTGGCTGTGTTGCTGCTGTAAGTATTAAATGTAGATGTTTTTTCGCCCCCATCAACACATTTTAGGTCTTTTAACCAGGTGGGCTTCCGACCCTGCCTGTCAGGGCCAAACCTGGGTGAGAGGGATACATACAACGTCCCAGCAGGAGGACCGAGATACTCGATAAAAAATGTACTCCCCGCTTGGGAATGGAACTCCGGCCTCCTGTGTGGGACAGCAAAGTTGCCTCACTGCTGCACCACAGAAGCCTGTGTTCAGTAAGTGTTTGACTGTGTGCTGTTAACTCCTGTGTCTGGTCCAGGTGTGTCGCGGGGCTGAGAGCACACAGATTCTGAAAATGTCAATGGGTGGTTGGTGGGTGCTCTGGTGTGGTTTGCTCCTTCTTTCCTCTTAAGTGGGTGGTTGGCGGGTGCTCTGGTGTGGTTTGCTCCTTCTTTCCTTTCAAACATCTATCGTCCTTATCTCCCCTTCTTCTTTTTTATGTTTGTTACTCTCTTGTAACACCTCTAATCTTCTGGCGCTCATATGACCTTATGCAGTTGCGAGCGTCGTAAAACCTCTACTAAAACAAAAAACTTTCCTCTTAAGCATCTATCGTCCTTATCTCTCCTCCTTTTTTACGTTTGTTGTTACTCTCTTGTAACACCTCTAATCTTCGGCACTTATATAACCTTATTGTGTTGCAAGTGCCGTAAAACTAAACTAAACTGAAAATGTCAAGTCCATATTAACTCTTTCAAATGTCAGGTCCATAGTAGCCTCTGAAAATGTCAAGTCCATTTTAGCTTTTGTTAATGTCAAGTCCATATCGGCATTGAGAGATTTTTGTTATGTCCTTTTTGTGGGTGGTTGGTGGGTGCTCTGGTGTGGTCTGCTTCTTCTTTCCTATCAAACATCTATCGTCTTTATCTCCCCTCTTTCTACATTGTGTTTATTACTCTCTTGTAACACTGACTTCTAATCTTCGGCACTTATATGACCTTATTGTGTTGCAAGTGCCGTAAAACCCTTACTAAAACTAAACTGTCTTTTCTGTAGTGTGTCCTTGAGCGTGACACTTCAATAGCAATGACATTAGATGCTGTGAGCTGAGGAGTAAGAGGATTGAATCAGCAGACGGGGAAAATATTTTTGGCTAGAGAGCATCAAGTGGGTGATTGGTGGGTGCTCTGGTGGGGTTTGCCCAGCCAGGCTTCTTTCCTATCAAACTTCTATCTTCCTTTTTATCTGTCCTTTTTTTTGTGTGTGTGTTTGTTACTTTTTTGTAACACCTCTAATCTTCAGCACTTATGTGACCTCATTGTGTTGCAAGTGCCATAAAACTCTTACTGCGCGCTCATATGACCTTACGCAGTTGTGAGCGCCGTAAAACCCAATACTACTACTACTACTAAACTCTTACTGAAACTAAAAACATGACATATCAAGTGTGTCTATCATTGTGTTGACGACACATTGTGTCCCACTGAGCCAGGTTTTTGTGGATCTGATCTCATCCTTTCTGCATTCATCCATCCCCACCAGGGCAGTGCTACTGACTGAAGTGTCTTTAGGCCATTCCCAAAGGGGGGATATTAACTTGTTCTTATGCACAGTAGAATTGTAAATGTGCTGATTTATCAATGTCATGCTCGTACTGTGCCGGAACAACATAGGTGTGACTGCTGCTTTTCCTTTCCTCATCCTTACGATAGTTATTTTCCCTCTACTTCTTTTGTATGTTTGTCATTCTCTTTTGAACTGCTATTTCCGGGGCGCCTTGATAGTCGAAGCAGACTTTGTGCTGTTGAGGTAGAGAGGTGAGCAGAGTAAGTCTGATTCCCTGTTTGGACTTCTCTGTTGACACCCACCCCTTGGCGCTCATATGACCTTATGCAGTTACGAGGGCCGTAAGAAACCTTACTAAAACTAAAGAACTGGTCCTTTCTGTCTCCCCAGGTGCCACGCCCAGCAACCCCAACCTGGGCACACAGCAGGCGCCCGGCGCGGTGCAGAGACCCAGAGCGGCGGCCAGGCGGACCCAGCGGCGAGGGCCACGGCGATGAGATACACTAACACATATACACACACACGCACACACACACACACATACACTCACACTCACACAAACTGAAAAGGGCACATTGACGAAATACCCACACATATAGAGACATGTCGATGAAACACACACATAGAATCTATATATATATATATTGATAAAAATATGTGTACACACACACACACATAGAAGGCCTTATCGATGAAATGAACACTTTTACGGGCCCCATCAATAGAATAAACGCACACTCAAATCGATAAAACATACACATGTTAATAAACTTCACAAATATATACACACTTTGATAAAATACACCCATACCATACACACACATCAATAAAATACATAAATCAGTTTTTTAAAAAAGAAAAAAGTACAGATACACAGGTACCGGGGCACATTGACGTTCATAATTTTGTGTTGTGAGGTTTTTTATTAAGTTCTGTCACTGCCCTGAGAGAGTTGCATGTTTGGTTTGGCTTTGTTGTACATAATTTATGTGTTGTCCTCTGTAAGAACTACTTGGAAGTGCTCACATTTTATATAAAACTCTGCAATAAATGTAGTTGCAAAGAAAGTTCATGGAATTTTAGTTCTAATTATTGGATCAGTTTCTTGTTGGAAGTTTGTGTGAGGGAAATTCCAGGTCTGAAATCAGTTGAGCCCTCGGAACCCTAGGGATTGTACAGTTGTGTTTGTTCCTACTATAATTGTATGGCAGGTCTAGAGTTTCCCTATACATGTATTTTTATAGTAACTTATCCTTTCCCCCACACCCCCCCATAACTGAGATAGGTCTTGAAACATTGACTGTTATTTGAAATAAAACTCCTATCAACAATTGTGTTATCTCCTTCAATGTATTTCGCATTCTCGTCACTGTCCAGCGTATTTCACGGGTGGTTGGCGGGTGCTTTGGTGTGGTTTGCTCCTTCTTTCCTGTCAAATATCTGTCCTTCTGATCTCTCCTTTTTCTTTTTTGTGTTTGTTTCTCTCTTGTAACATTTCTAATCTTCAGCACTTATATGAACTAATTGTGTTGCAAGTGCCGTAAAACACTTACTAAAACTTATCTCCTGCTTCTTCTTTTTTTGTGTGTTTGTTTCTATCTTGTAACACCTCTTATCTTCGGCAATTATGTGACCTGATTGTGTTTCGAATTTTGTAAAATCATAATAAAACTAAACTGTAGTATATTTCTCATTCTCGTCGTGTACAATAAACTTACACAACTACAGAAATGTGGTTTCTTAGGACACAGTTGAGCACTATTTTTTTTTTAATTAACTGGGTGGTTGGCGGGTGCTCTGGTGTGGTTTGCTCCTTCTTTTTCGGGTTTGTTACTCTCTTGTTACACCTCTAATCTTGCACACTTATATTTGACCTAATTGTGTCGTGTAATTGCCGTAAAACTTTCACTATAACAAAATAGAAAAAAAAAACACTCCAAAAACAGCTTGGAAAAACAACTACAGTTTAGGTGGCGTCGTTAGCCTAGTGGTTAGGCTACCGGACTCGTAATCGTGAGATTGCTGCGGATTCGGGGGTTCAAGCCTCAGCTCGGTCCGACACTGTGTCCTTGGGAAAGGCACTTTACACAAATTTCCTATTTGGCTTGGTCCTTTCGGCGATGGACGTTTAACTCGGAGGCCCCGCCTCTTAAATAACCTAATAGTGTTGATAGGGGCGTTAAACCTATACCATTTCACCATTTCATTTTTTCATCAACTACAGTTTCTGGAACACTTGAACTTGAAGAAACCCAGAAGCCTTGATCGTCTTGTTCTAACTGAAAAAATCATAGGGGTAGACCTAGAGAAACTTGCTGAGAGAACTTTTTTTCTGTGTTGAGTGTTGGTATTTTACAGCGACACAATTTAGATCAGTGTGCCCTATCTGTACGTCGTGTTTTACTACATGTATCGTATCTATACGACGTGGGGAACTCTGTGCCACCATTTTCCAAAGATGAAATTTACTCGTTAATCCGATCCGTACGCTTTGCATAGCAGTCTGTCAAAATGATTTTTGGAGAAATACTGAAAATTCAAAGAGATTTTCGCACTAGAACTAGAAGTAGAAGTATTCGAAACTATGAAGAATACAACCCCGGGGGTACAAATAAATGACAACCAGGCGTACGGATAGGGTTAAGAGGCAGGCAGAGAGGGACACATGAACAACATCCCAGCAGACGAGACTCGATACATTCTCCCCACAAGAGACAGACCTGCCACTCATCCCGAGCCCCCCCCCCCGCCAGTGCTACTGACTGAAGCTGTTTTTAGGCCATTCCCAAAGTGGGAATATTTACATGTTCTTATGCACAGTAGAATTGTAAATAGGCTGATTTATCAATGTCATGCTCTTACTGTGCCGGAACAACATCGGGGACCTGCTGCTTTTTCTTTCCTAATCCTTACTACCGTCATTTTCCCTCTACTTCTTTTGTATGTTTGTCACCCTCTTGTGACCCGCTATGTCCGGGTTGCCTTGATACATAATACATGTAGTCGAAGCATTGTGCTGTTGAGGCTAGAGAGGTGAGCAGAGTTTAAAGCCCCCATCCCCCGTTTGGACTTCTCTGTTGACATCCACCCCTTGGCACTCGTATGACCTTTTGCAGTTGCGAGCGCCGTAAACTGAAACTTCTACTAAAACAGAACAACAAAACTAAAACATCTACTAAAAAACAAAACAACAAAACTAAAACATCTACTAAGAAACAAAACAACAAAACTAAAACATCTACTAAGAAACAAAACAACAAAACTAAAACCTCTACTAAAAAAACAAAACTAAAACCTCTGCTATAACTTCCAAGTTAAGAGGCTGGCTTCCGACCCGGGCTGAGAGGGACACATACCATGTACAAAATTGTACAACATCCTAGCACAAAGACAGACTCGATCAATTCTCCCCACTTGAGACAGACCTGCTGCCACTCATCCCGATTTTTGGGGGGCTCTCGTGGCCTAGAGGTTAAGGTGTTCGCCTCTCATTCAATTCGTCCCGTGATCGAATCCGGATAGCGAGCGACGGAAAATTTTCTTCTCTAAAATGTATCTTCTTTCACATCCTTTCCTGCTCTCTAACAATGTTCTGTCGTCTGCTTTCGTCTCCACTTTCTGCCCTCACCCCTTCACCTCCTTTGCCCCTTCCTCGGGGCTCCTGACTCTTTCTGCAGCCTTTCTACTGCAACTCCCTGGCTCCTTCTTACTGCTGTCTTTCAGCCACACCCCTAATTTTGTGGTAGATAAGATCTACAAAGAGCCTTCTCGGATAAGTGTGTAAAATCCTGGAAGTCTCGTGTGCAAGTTGCGCATGTCAAAGATCCCCTGGTGGTCCAAAATTCGATAAAGAGTAGGCTTCGGCCGCTATCAGTGCAAAATTCAAAATTTCCTACCAACTGAAAAATGTTTACTGTGTCCCGTGTGCCGTGCGCTCATACTCATATGACCTTATGCAGTTGTGAGCACCGTAAAATGCTTTTTAAAAAAAAGAAAGAAAAAAAGAGGCAGAATTCCGACCCAGGCTGGGAGGGATACATGTACAACATGCCAGCAGACAGACGGAAATACTCTGCCTCTCATACCCCTCCCCCCCTCAAACTCAAACCTCAAACAACCCGATTTTAAAACATTTTTTGGGGGGGGGGGGGGGGGGGGGGGGGGGTTTTTTTTGGCCCTTTAAAAAAATAATTTTTTTTTGCCCCAAACAAACCCGATTTATATCTATTTATTTTTTGCCTCTCTCTCTCTCTCTCTCGATTTAAAAAAAAATAATTTTTTTTTGCCTCAAACCTCAAACACAACCCGATTTGTAAATGTTTTGTCTCAAACCTCAGAAAACCCGATTTTTTAAACAAAAAATTGTTTTTGTCTGAAACCTCAAACAACCCGATTTTTTGGGGGGCCTCAAACAAGATAAATTTCCCCCCCTTTTTTTCTCACATCAAACCTCAAACAACCCGATATATATTAATTTCCCCC